AGATGGGGGGGGGCGTGGTATGGTTTCAGGATGATTCAAGCACATTACATTTATTGTGCATTTTATTTCTATTATTATTACATTCTAATATATAATGAAATAATTATACAACTCACCAGGAGGCAGAGCTCAGGCAGTAATGCAAGCGATGGGGAGCAGCTGTAAATACAGGTGAAGCTTTGCTCACTCACCCACCACTCACCTCCTGCTGTGCGGCCCGCTTCCTAACAGGCCACGGACCGATATCGGTCCATGGCCTGGGGGTTGGGGACCCCTGCTTTAAGCCATTCTGGCTTCATGACATGGATATTTTGTAACGTTTGAAACCCTGAGGCCATTAATTCTGTCCCTGCCTCTCATCCCTGGCATTCTCAGGCACTGTCTCCTTGGTCAAGTCTTATCTTGCACTTCATACCTGTCAGATTGTTGTCAGATACCTAATGCCCAGATATTAGTCTCTTTTGAGAAGCCTCCCTCCATTTCCTTGCCTTATCTAAACCTGAATTTTTCCCTGAAGATAATTCAGCCCTCTTGAAATACTGTACCCTCTTTAACTTCCCCCAAGTTCTTTATTTTTCTAAAATGTGCCTTCATACACATCCTTATTTACAAATGAAGTATCGCTCAGATGTCCTCTCTGAGAAGTACTGCTTTCCATCAGCTGACATGGTGCTTTTTCCTTTGTCTACATTGCAACTTCAATACACCTCCAACATACAACATTTAATACAATGCATTCCAACAATGCAACATTCAATATAGTCCAACATAACAACATTCGATACTGTACATCCCAACAGTGCAACTTCAGTACAATCCAACATATAACATTCAATACCGTACAGTCCAACAATGCAGCATTCAATACCATGCATTCCAACTGTGCAACTTTAGTGCAATCCACCATACAACATTCAATACAATATGCAACTTCAATACAGTCTAACATACAACAGTGTATTAGAGTTGTTGGTTTATCCAGCTCCTCACAAAACTGGAAGCATCTTGAGAACAAAGACAGTGTCTTTTAAATCTGTATGCCCTTAGTATCTGGCATGTAGGGGACTGTAAGTAAATATTGAAAAAACTAATAGAAAGAAGGCATTTATTTCTAAATTTGAGTGTACCTAACAATGTTGTCTAGCATACATATGTACCTAACAAGGTAGATATATACACTTTTTAATACATTTTAATTTTATGTATTTATATATCTTAATTTTAAAATATTTTATATATTATGTATAAATATCTATATAGCCATGATATATATCTACAAGTAACAAAAACTTACAGAACTGAAAAAAGGAATTGACAAATGCACCATTAGTGCAAATTATTTTAACGTAAGTATTTGAATAGTTGATAGATCAGGCAGATAAAACTTTGGCAGGGATAAAGGAGATTTGATTCTGACAGTTCTGTAGCTTTCTCTGTTGGAAAGAGGGCCCTATACCCAACAATTGCTTGTATAAAAATTCTTCTCAATTTTATTTGGAAATTTTATTAAAATTGATCACATACTAGACTAAAAAGCTAGCCTCATCAATGTCAAAAATCATCATACTTCCCTGGTGGCGCAGTGGTTGAGAGTCCGCCTGCCGTTGCAGGGTACATGGGTTCGTGCCCCGGTCTGGGAAGATCCCACATGCTGTGGAGCGGCTGGGCCTGTGAGCCATGGCGGCTGAGCCTGCGCATCCGGAGCCTGTGCTCTGCAATGGGAGAGGCCACAACAGTGAGAGGCCCGCGTACCGCAAAAAAAAAACAAAAACAAAAAAAAAAACAAAAATCATCATAAGTCAAATTAATCTAGGTGGCAAAAGAGAATCATAATAGAAAAAAATGTTTATACTTTTTTTAAAAAGATTTATTTTATTATTTACTTATTTATTTTTGGCCGTGTCGGTTCTTAGTTGCAGCATGAGGGCTCTTCGTTGCGGCGTGTGGGCTTCCCTCTAGTCCTGGCGTTCAGGTTTTCTCTCTCTAGTTGTGGTGCACAGGCTCCAGGGCACATGGTCTCTGTAGTTGTGGAGCGAGGGTTCCAGAGCGCGTGGGCTCTGTAGTTTGCAGCACGCAGGCTCTCTGAGGCGCGCGAGCTCAGTAGTCGTGGCGCACATGCTGCGTGCTTAGTTGCCCCGTGGCATGTGGGATCTTAGTTCCCTAACCAGGAATCAAACCAGCATCCCTTGCATTGTAAGGCGGATTCTTTACCACTGGACCACCAGGGAAGTCCCCAAATTTTTATACTTAAAATGCATTGAAAAGACATGCACACAATACTGGTGGACTGCAACTAAAGTGGTACCCAAAGGCAATTGTACAGCCTTAACTATCCTTTATTAGGATAAAGGTCTGAAAATTAGTTAGATAGCTAATTTTATATATCTGAAAAAGAACAAAAGAATAAAGGTAAGGAAAAAAGAAGAATATGCCATTATAATTATAGACAAATTCTTCCAGAGAGAAGGAATACACCATGGCTCATTTTAGGAGGTGAGTATATCCAGACAAATACATTATGAGAAAGGAAATTTATAGTCCATTTTCATGTATGAATATGAATTTTTAAAAACTTAACATATTAGGAAACCAAATCCAACAATGTCTTTAAAAAAGCATAAAAATATCATAACCAAAGTTGGATTTATTCTTGGATTGCAGGTAAGTCCAATTATAAAGAAGACAATTTTCAAATTAATCTGTAAGTTAAATGCAATTCCCATCAAAATCTCAAAGGTGCTTTTTTAAAAGTAGAACTTGACAAGCTGATTAAAGTTTGATAAATATGAGTAAAGAGCCAAGAGTAATCAAAAAACAATTTTGAAAAAGAACAAGGTGGTGGCGGTGGGGACTTCCCTAGTAAATATTAAGACTTACTATAAAGTCTATTTAGATCTTATTATAGAGTAACAATAGTTAAGACAGTGTGCTTTAAGCACAGTCATAAATAAATACACCAGTATACAATATAGCAGACTAGAAAACCAATAACCTGAGCTGCCTGTGTACAGCAAATGTTGTAGATCAGTAGAGAAAAGGAGAGGCTGTTTCATAAATGGTGCTTGAACAATAGGTTATCAAAATAGGGAGAAAAGTGGATTCCTTCTTCACAATAAGTAGGAATACCTAACATAAATATAAATTCCAGGTAGGTTATAGAGACTTAAATGTGAAAAAGCAAAATTTTAAAATTTTACAAGGAAGTAGAGAATGTATTTATAAACCTGTGGAAGGAAAAGATTTCTAAAGTAAGACATGCAGCACAAATCACTAAGAAAAAGATTGAGAAATGGAACTACCTTTAAAGCATGTTTATCAAGTAATAGCATTAAAACATGAAAAAGCAATTCACATGATGGGAGACAATGTCTGCTATGCATGTAGAATATATAAGAAGAAGAAAATTGCACAGTTAATAAGTACAAATCACAGAATAGGAAACCTGGCCAGTAACCATATGAGAAGCTGCTCCAACCCACTGTAACAATCAGGGAAATGCACATAAAAATCAGATGAGATGCATTTCAGCCCTCTGATTGGCAGAAATAAAATGTTGATGACTACAAAGTGATGGTAACTATTTGACAAGAGATCATTCATGTACTTCTGGTGTACTCTCCACTTTGGAGAAGAATTTGATAATGTCTAGTCCCATTGAAGGTGTACATATTTTATGACGCATCAATGCACTCTTAGCAATGTCTTCAAAATTCTGATGGAGGGGGAAAGGTACGATAAATACATTTTCGAAAAATGTTTAGAAATTTGCCTCTGATGCGTCCTTTCCCAGGAACCTATTAGAGGATGGCCTTCAGCAAAATACAGGAGTGAAATAAGGTAAAGACATAGAATTCAGGAAATGAATTCAATACAGGAGGGTCAAAAAAATTTTCTAAATGATGTCAAATGGAAGTCACAAAACACCTGAACAAAAGGCCTAGAAAGCAACATCAGATTTGAGTAGATGTGTGGAATATTCGAGGCAGGAAAATGGATGTGACAGGTCATCCAATACATTTGACCATGTGAATATTTCTATTGAGAGTCATTTTATATAGGTATCAAAGATTGTGAGAAGACATAACCACTGAGAGAGGTCTTTATTTCATTCTCAGCTGTATTCACAGCATCCCAGTGTCTAGCACATAGTAGGCATTCAGAAATATTTGTTAAATGAATGAAGCATGTCCTTGAAGGTAGCAGGAATGAAGTGGATGAAAAATGGAAGGAGGAGAGCTGGCTGAAACAATAAAGCACACCATGGAAAAGAGAATGAAGTAAGTGACAGGAAACAAGGAAAATTTGAGAACAATCTGATACAACATCTGGGAGCAATTCTTTTGGGTTTGATGGTGGAAGATGTATAACATAAGTGAGAATCAAATAAGATGTAGTTGTGAATGCCCTTGAGTTCAGATGTTTTTAAATTAGGGCTGTTTGCAACTACAGACATTTTAGATTACCTGCCAGTTATTTGATCCAAACTTTGATGGCCAATGGGCTGTTGATTTATTCATTTCATATTTAACAATCTCCTCCTTTGTACACAGCACTATGCCAGAAGTTTGGATTTTAATGATGAGCAAACTCAGATATTGTCCCTGCCCTCATGTGCAATCTGTTAACCATGCTTATCCTTCTGTTCACATTTATCTAGCCTGAAATATTTTCTTAGTCTGTATTCACTCTTATGAAAATAAGGTTTTGAAATGTACACTAACTCTAGAAATGGTAACTCGTTTCATTTCACCAGGAGTTAGTATATATAATAATAAGCTTTATAGAAAATTTTCCTAATCAAATTGGATATGACTTTTGTTATTATAAACATACACTATCTTGGTAACTAAATTTTGCTAGTCATTCTTGGCTGGTGATCTTTATCTGTTTGTATATGAACTTTACACAAAAATACAAATACCCTTCATGGTTGGTCCTGTTGAGTATTAATTATCAAGCATTGCTCTTTCTTACCTTCTTTCCTTGGTGTCCTTTTGCAGGGATTGTATTCGCACATTATGGTCCAGTCTGGAGACAACAGAGGAAGTTCTCTCATTCAACTCTTCGTCATTTTGGCCTGGGAAAGCTTAGCTTGGAGCCCAAGATTATTGAGGAGTTCAAATATGTGAAAGAGGAAATGCAAAAGAATGGAGAAGTCCTCTTCAATCCTTTCCCCATTGTCAACAACGCTGTCTCTAACATAATTTGCTCTTTGTGCTTTGGCCAGCGGTTTGATTACACCAATAGTGAGTTTAAGAAAATGCTTAATTTTATGTCACGAGCGTTAGAAATCTGTCTGAACACCCAGCTCCTCTTGGTCAACATATGCTCGTGGCTTTATTACCTTCCCTTTGGACCATTTAAGGAATTAAGACAGATTGAAAAGGATTTAACTATTTTCCTTAAAAAAATCATCGAAGACCATCGAGAGTCTCTGGATGTAGAGAACCCTCAGGACTTCATAGACATGTATCTTCTCCATGTGGAGGAGGAGAGGAAAAATAATAGCAATAGTAGTTTTGATGAAGATTACTTATTTTATATCATTGGCGATCTCTTCATTGCTGGCACTGATACCACAACTAACTCTTTGCTTTGGTGCCTCCTGTATATGTCACTGAACCCCGACATACAAGGTAATAAACAGATGTTTCCTTTATTCATGGCAAAACCAGGATATATTTTTTTTCATTTCCATTTAAATCAGCAACCTTTGTGATCCTGTGGCTCCTGTCAGTAAGCAATGTCTTCAGGCTGGAAAACAAAATGGAAATACTTGCATCTCATAGGGAATGGGTAAGGTGTTAACAACGAAACTCCAAGTTTCTAGACAGTGGCACTAAGATCGCAGCTTGCTTGAATCTGCTTTAAATCTCTACAGGTCTGATTCTGTGTGAAATCTATGATGAAGAAAGAACTTTAGAGAAGACTATTTTAGAGTTGAAGAGAGTCATAGTGATCATCTGAACCCATTCATCTTTTTTTAAGATGAGACCAGAGACCCAGAGAAGTTCTGTGATTTTCACAAGGTCACAGAGCTAGTTCCACCACATCAATACCAATAGGTAGTGAATTTCAGTGGAAGTTCATAGTGGAAGGATACAGGAGAGAATAGTGTGTTCATTTTCCGTTGCTCCTACAACAAATAACCACACAGTTAGTGACAACACACATTTGTTATGTTACAGTTCTATACATTAGAAGTCTGACACATGTCTCAGTGAACCAAAATCAAGATGTTGGCGGGGCTGCGTTCTTTTCCGGAGGCTCTGGAGGAGAATCCATCTCCTTGCCGTTTGCGGCTTCCTTGGCTCGTGGCCCCCTTGCTCTATCTTTGAAGCCAGCAATGTTGCATCTCTCTGACCATTCTTTCATAGTCATATCTCCCTCTGACTCTAAACTGGGAAAAGTTTCCATTTTTTTTTTTTTTTTTTTTTTGGCTGCATCGGGTCTTCGTTGCTGTGTGTGGGCTTTCTCTAGGTGTGGTGAGCGGGGGCTACTCTTCGTTGCGGTGCGCAGGCTTCTCATTACGGTGGCTTCTCTTCTTGCGGAGCACAGGCTTTAGGCGCGCGGGCTCGGCAGTTGCTGTGCACAGGCTCTAAGGCGCGTGGGCTTCAGTAGTTGTGGCTCGCGGGCTCTAGAGCGCAGGCTTAGTAGTTGCAGTGCACAGGCTTAGTTGCTCTGCGGCATATGGAGTCTTCCCGGACCAGGGCTCGAACCCATGTCCCCTGCATTGGCAGGCAGATTCTTAACCACTGTGCCACCAGGGAGGTCCCAGTTCTCCAATTTTAAAACCCATGTAATTAGGCTGGACACACCCAGAAAATCCAGCATAATCTCCCCATCACAAAGTCCTTAATTTAATCACATCTGCAAAGTCCCTTTTTACCAAATAAGGTAGCATAGTCACAGGTTCCAGGGGATTATGGCATGGACATCTTTGAGGGACCATTTCCTGCCTACTATAGATGGGATTGTGCCTACCTATATTCATTAACTATTGATGAATAACAAATTATCCCAAAATTTAGCATCTTAAAACAACAACCATTTATAATCTCACATAGTTTCTGAGGATCAGGTATCCAGGAGCAGCTTAGCCTGGATGGTCTGGTTTAGGATTTCTCAGGCAGTTGTAATCAAGGTGTTGGCCTGGGGCTACAAACATCTATAGACTTGACTGGGACTGAAGGATCCACTTGTAAGATGGCTCATCCACGTGGCGGCTGGCTGCAGGTCTTGCCACTTGGAACTTTCCGTAGGGCTGCTTTACTGGCAGCTGCCTTCCCCCAGAATGAACGACCCTAGAGAGTAAGTGGCCAAGACAAAAGCCATAGTGTCTTTTATAACCTAAGCTCAGAACGGTCATGCCATTGCTTCTCCTTTATTCTGTCGGTCACATAGACCAATTTGGAACAGAGTGGGAGGGGATGGCACGAAGTTGGGAACACCAAGAAGTGGGGGTCACTGGGGGTCATGTTGGGCTACCACACGTTGTCACAGGTAAAAGCTTAGAGTCAATCAGACGTTGATACGAGAGAAACTCCGAGTGCTCCTGAATCCAGAGTGCTTTCCCCTTTGCCACTCTGTCTGTTCTGCCATCGTCCTTCAGAATCCCAGGCTGGTACAGGGTCCCTGGGACCAGCTGCCTCCACTGGAATATCTGATCGGTGTTTCACTTCACTGAGGCCAAGTCAGGCCTGTGCTGCCGACTTATCAGCTGTGTGGATATGGTGATGGGAAGAGTGTATGGGAGGGCAGTCTCTCCTGGCTTATCTTTTGGATTATGCTTTCCTTTTTTTTTTTTTTCTGTATAGAAAAGGTTCATGAAGAAATTGAAAGGGTCATTGGTGGTGACCGTGCCCCCTCCCTCACTGACAAGGCCCGGATGCCCTACACAGAAGCCACCATCATGGAGGTGCAGAGGCTGAGTGTGGTGGTGCCACTGTCCATCCCTCACATGACCTCAGAGAAAACAGGCAAGTCCAGGGCCTTCCTCCTTGGAACGCCCTCGAGGGAAGCCCGTCCCCTTCATCCAGAGGACTTGAGGTGAGGTTGTGGCAAGCGTTTGTTGTCATGGATAATCAAATGACCAGAGGATGCTTCCGCCTCAGCTGTCCCTTATTTGGTGTACCGGCTGGCGTTCCAGCCCTGCCTGTTTGGTAAATAGCTCTCTAGCCTTCAGAGCGTGCACACTTACACTGGTCAAATTATGCTGCCGTTTAAGGTGGCTGTACTGGCAGAAAAAAACTCCAGAATTAACAAAGGCCCCTCTCTGTCCTCCTGTTCTTGGAGGCCCGAAGAGCTAGCCTAATTATGAAATTAAGGAGTTTAACTGGGAATTATTCTGCTTCATTTTTTGCGGTTCTGCAACTGAAGCACAAGTGTTAAAGAATTAGAAGAGCCCATCTGATTCTGAAGGCACATGTTTCAGCCTTTCACCTACAGTGACCTTGACATTTAGGCACTCAGACTCACTGTAAGCATCCCTCATAACAAGGAGTTTCCGTCCTCCGGAGATAGCCCATGATGAAATGGGCTTAAATCTAGTTATAAGACAGATGTAGGAGGCAGTCACTTATAAATGACATTGGATCACTTAACAGTTTCTTTGGTGTAAATTAAATATAAGGTGTGTGCAGTATCCTTGGGGCATTGTTTAAAGTGCATATGAACTTGTCAGCTGGTATGAACCAGCATTGACTTCCCTGTACATCCCTTTACCTTAGTTTACCTTCTTCATTGTATTGTGTCACATAAAAGACTGGGAACTGTAAAATTGTATACAAGTATTAGGAATTTGTAATTCTTTGGGAAAGTTCACCTGAAATGCCTTATGATTCCCGTTTTAATGTTTTCTCTTAATTGTAATGTTTTTATCATTTGATTTAATTGATTAACTCAACATCCATCAGAGCAACTCCTATGCCGTGTCAGGCTGGGTCCTGGGAGGGTATGGAGAGGATGCCAGTTGATAAGGTTTTGCCTCTGCCCTCAAGTACCTCAAAGTGTACTCTCAGCAAATTAAGAAGCTAGATATGTAACTAGTTTTTGTTTGTTTGTTTGTTTAGAGAGTGATGTTTACCAAGAGTTATTAGTAAAAGCATGTTGAATGATACAGTGGTTTCGTTTTGTTCTAGTGCTCCAAGGGTATACCATTCCTAAAGGCACGATAATATTACCCAACTTGTGGTCAATACACAGAGACCCAGCCATTTGGGAGAAGCCAAATGATTTCTACCCTAATCGATTTCTGGATGATCAAGGACAACTTATTAAAAAGGAAACATTTATTCCTTTTGGGATAGGTCAGTTAAACTTTTATTTTCTTAATGGCATAATTTTAAAAAGAAATAGAACCAAAAGAATCTTTTATTATTTCATGATACTCTTTTAAAAATGTTTCTTCCTTGGCAAGCTAATATAAGAGAGAAATAATTTAGATAATGCATCTCCACTATGTTTATTTCAGATTTTAAAAACAAAGTGAAAGCAATTGGTTTTAAATCTTTAAATATGACTAGAAATCTTCCTTTTTGAGTTGTCCAGGTGATTGTTTGAGTCCCAGGGAACTGTTGGAGTTAAGAGCAGCTTTTGACGTGCCTGAATGGTGGGTGAGAGGGTGGGCTCTCTAATCTCACCAGTCCCTCTTTTAGGTTCCTAGATTAGGGCATATAGGCTTCTTTCTGTAGAAAAGGAATGCTCCAGAGATTCTTATTTGATATCTTTTCTCCTTAGTCTTCCAGGTAAGAGCAAGGAAAGAGATAAGTCAGTATGGAGGAGACAAGCCACCTCATTGGCTCCGTCTCTAGTTCCTATCTAGAATGTGGATAGATTTTTATGAGTAGGTGTTAAAATGTGAACTTGATATGCAAAAATTCTGATCAGCATAGACTGTGGGAAGCCACGGGGTATTATGTGGCAATTTTATTTCAAAACTCTCTATGTCTGCCTTTAAAACACTCAATTTAGAAATTTCATAAATTTATCCCTTTTGAGGTAGGAAAAGGGCTGGTATTATAATCCTTACCTTTTTTCCTGGTCTCATTTTTAGGGAAGCGGGTATGTATGGGAGAGCAGCTGGCAAAGATGGAATTATTCCTGATGTTCGTGAGCCTCATGCAGAGTTTCACATTTGCTTTGCCTAAGGACTCGAAGCCGATCCTGACTGGGAAATATGGTCTAACCTTAGCCCCACATCCGTTTAACATAATCATTTCAAAGAGATAAAGAACATCTCCAGGAAGAGATGGTGCAGAGAATGTAAATACATGTCCTTCTAAACAGATTCTTCCTTTTGTAATTGACAGCGGATCCAGCAACTCTGCAGGTCTAGGTTAGGCTTGGATTAGAGAGAGATTGGAAAGAGGGTAGAGCACGTGGGACCTTTCGTCTTGGAGGGTTCCTCAGAAGGAAACTTCAGCCATTTTAGTAATGCACGTGACTTGAGGGATGGTGACGAAAGTACTGGATTCGGAAGCAGGGGATCCGGATTTTATTCCCAGCAGCCTCCACCAATGAGCATTTCTTCTCATCCCTCAGTGCCTCAGTCATTCCACGTGGAAAATGACGGTAACAAAATTTGACTTCTCTCTCTGTCTTGGCATGAATGATGGTCAAACGCTCCATCTTTTCTGACATCACCAAAGCACTGTTAAGCTCTGGAGAACAAATTCAGGAGGAGGAGGAAGACCTACCTGTTTAAGACCCATGACAACGTGAAAGTGGTGTTCAGACTTGAATACTTCATCAGAGAAGGACGTGGGTTTAGGGGACAGTGAATTAGAGCTTTTCTTATTTATTTATTTTTTTACTTAATTTCTTTTTGGCTGTGTTGTGTCTTCGTCACTGCGTGGGCTTTCTCTAGTTGCGGTGAGCAGGGGCTACTCTTCATTGCCGTGCGTGGGCTCTCATTGCGGTGACTTCTCTTGTTGCGGGGCACAGGCTCTAGGGCACACGCGGGCTCAGTAGTTGTGGCGCACGGGCTTAGTTGCTCTACGACATGTGGGATCTTCCTGGACCAGGGCTCGAACCCGTGTCCCCTGCATTGGCAGGCAGATTCTTTTTTTTTTTTCTAAGTTTTTAAAAATTTATTCATTTATTTTTGGCTGTGTTGGGTACTCATTGCTGCACGCGGGCTTTCTCTAGTTGCGGCGACCGGGGGCTACTCTTTGTTGAGGTGCACAGGCTTCTCGCTGCAGTGGCTTCTCTTGTTGCGGAGCATGAGCTTTAGGTGCACAGGCTTCAGTAGTTGTGGCACGTGGGCTCAGTAGTTGTGGCTCATGGGCTCTAGAGCTCAGGCTCAGTAGTTGTGGCGCACGGGTTTAGTTGCTCCGCAGCACGTGGGATCTTCCCAGACCAGGGCTCGAACCCATGTCCCCTGCATTGGCAGGCGGATTCTTAACCACTGTGCCACCACCAGGGAAACCCTAGAGCTTTTCTTGACACAGATCTTATGTCGGTTTTGGAGGACTTGTTTTGTTATTATCTTTTCATTTATGATTTTAGTTTTTACTTTTTGTAGACATGCGATGAAGTGGACCCTTGTTTAGTATGTTGAGGAAAGGTTATTGTCTGAATGTATACGTCTGCCTTCTATTTCAGCTACATGAACAGTGAGCCTAGCTGAAGAAGTGGCTTCATGGCAGAATTCCTTTCTGCTGTGTTTACTCACAAGGATGTAGCTCTGGCTTCTGACTTGAGCCCTGAATAGTGAGCTCTGGAATTTTAATACTGGGATTTATGAGAAAAGGATTCAAACTGTACTGAACATTCCTTAACTGTTCTTCCTGCCACCAGGCCTAATGTGTCTCATCCTTGAAGACTTGCAAAGACAGGAAGGCATTCTTAATTTTTTTAAGATAACTAAATTGTTTCTTAATAAATAAACTCCCTCTAAAAGAACAGTTCTCAAAAAAGGTAATGACGTCTTTCAGGGGATATTTGGAAATATGTGGGTGTGTTTTCAGTTATCACAGTGGTGGGGGTGCTAATGGCTTTTTTGTTGCCATGAGGCCAGGATGCTAAATGTCTGAGCAGTCCTAGACAATGAAGAACTGACCTGCCCAAAGAGAACATGCTCCAAAAGTGGCTAGCCCTTTTCTTTATTCTCCTATTATACTCCTTATATAGAAAGAATTGTGATGATAATATAAGCAACTGTACTTTTGAGCCTTTCCTCATGCTGGCACCATACTTTATGCTTTACTTGTGTGCTTACATAATTCTTAAAGAATGTTTAGTAAGAGGATGCCATTCTGTAGCTGATGGAGCTCAGGCTTAGAGAAGTTACGGCCTACATGTAGTTAAAAAGTACTGCTGTGCATTTCAAATCTACCAGTCTTTGTAACTGGAGAGTTCTTCCTGTACCATGTCTCTATACTGCCTTCTGCATTTTCAATATGGATAAATGAAATACAGGCCAATCTTTAGGTGCCTTGAGGATTTTTGTTAATTAAAAAAGAAAAACTAAGAACGAAATGCATAGGCACTGTGAGTGAATGGAGAGGTTGTTATAGAGACTTTATTTATTGTTTATTAATTAATTTTTATTTTTGGCTGCATTGGGTCTTCTTTGGTGTGCGCAGGCTTACTCTAGCTGCGGTGAGCGGGGGCTACTTCTCATTGCGGTGGCTTCTCTTGTTGCGGAGCGTGGGCTTCAGTAGTTGTGGCACGTGGGCTCAGTAGTTGTGGCTCACGGGCTGTAGAGCGCAGGCTCAGTAGTTGTGGCGCACAGGCTTAGTTGCTCTGTGGCATGTAGGATCTTCCTGGACCAGGGCTTGAACCCGTGTCCCCTGCATTGGCAGGCGGATTCTTAACCACTGTGCCACCATGGAAGCCCCTGGAGACTTTAGATGGATGACGCATGTGTGGATTATCGTGTACCATGTGCAGGGTAGTTTGTTCTGATCTGGAATTTCATATGCTGCGGAATTGCACTAATAACTTTGCATTAGCAAGTTTATTACTCTTCGATTTATACATGCATTTTCAGTACCCCCTAACCAAACAGTTTGTAGCTAACTTGAGAAAAAAACTCTTCTGTGAGATTATGTTGAAATCAGATGTTTATTAAACTTTAAAATGTAATGCCTTAAACTGTAGCACTTTTAAAACATCTGTTTATGGCAAATCACTGAAAGGACTGTTAATGCTTCCCTTGCACATGTTGATATTTTACGATTTTTTACTTTATGATGTATTTGAAGTGTAAAAATAATAGTACTTTGTTTTATAAGTTTGCCTAATACCTACTTTTTAGTCCTCATCATTAGCATGATTTTTGATGCTTATATTAAACTTTTAATTTTAACTGAGATAGTGTCATGTGTGGTTTAGGGGGTTTTGTTTTCTTTAAATTGCTAAACAAAATTCTCTTTTACCAGATGTCAAATTAAGAAAAGGAAGAGGGAATAGACTTCCAAAAAGAGGGAGATGGCCACATATAATATGAGCATGATCTCTAGACAGGAGGATAATTGTTTTAAAATATCCTCTCAGAGCACAGTTACTCTCAGGACTGTAGCACAGCCCAAGCTTCTTATTTCCCACGTCAAAGTCCAGCATTATTTGAGAGAGGGATGAATCTACATAAGCCCATTGTGGCAAAATAATCGAGTGCTTGTCTCTATTACACTCCTTAGCTCAGGAAGAAGAGTTTTCTAAAATACCCGAACCTATGGATTTTTCCTATAGATGAGCCCACTGCCGGCTTTTTCCACGGCCCAGTCTTCCTCCTGAGGTCACAGTGCAGAGGTCACCTCCTGAGGGACGGCTTCTGCTAAAGCTCTATCTAAAGTGGCCTTTCCTGAGAACACCCTGCTATAGACTGAAAGTTTGTGTGCCCCAAGAATTCATTAACTGAAACCTGATCCCGATGTGATAGTATTTGGAGGTGGGACCTTTGGGAAGTGATTGTGTCATGAGAGTGGAGCCCTCATGCATGGGATTAGGATCCTTATAAGAGCCCAGAGAGCTCCCTGCCCCCTTCTGCCATATGAGACTGCAGTGCAAAGACAGCCATCCATGAACCAGGAAGCAGGCTCTCACCAGACACTGAATCTGCAGATGCCTTGATTTTGGACTTCTAGTCTCCAGACCTGTGAGAAGTAAACTTCTGTTATCTGTAACATACTCAGTCTATGGTATTTTGTTATAACAGCCTAAATGGACTAAAATATGCCCTGATTCATCACCCAGCTTACTTCCTTCAGAGCCTTCCTCACTATCTACAGTTACCCTGTTTATTTAAATCCTCAGTTTCCACCATTTCTTCCACCTCTGTCCAGAGGTGCCCTTTGTTGCACAAGTTTTCAATTTTGATGAAGTCCAATTTGTTAATTTTTTCTTTTGTTGCCTGTGTCTTTGGTGTCATATCCAAGAAATCATTGCCAAATCCAATGTCATGAAGCTTTTTGCCTGTTTTCTTCTAAGAGTTTTATAGTCTTAGCTTTTATGTGTAGGTCTCTGATCCATTTTGAATTAATTTTTGTATATGGTGTAAGGTAAGGGTCTAACTTTACTTCTGTGCATATGGATAACAGTTTTCCCAACACTATTTGTTGAAAAGACTGTCTTTTCCCCATTGAATGGTCTAGGTACTCTTGTCGAAAATTGTTTGACCATATATATATGGATTTATTTCTGGGTGGATACTATCTTTCTTTTTTTTCTTTTTTCTTTTTTTTTTTTTTTGCGGTACACGGGCCTCTCACTGTTGTGGCCTCTCCCGCCGCGGAGCACAGGCTCGGGATGCGCAGGCCCAGCGGCCATGGCTTACAGGCCCAGCCGCTCCGCAGCATGTGGGATGCCGGACCGGGGCACGAACCCATGTCCCCTGCATCGGCAGGCGGACTCCCAACCACCGCGCCACCAGGGAAGCCCTGGATACTATCTTTTAAAGTAATGTATCACTAAACAGTTTTGTAGTAACACTGGGATATTCAGATGAATCAATGAAACAAAATAGAGAGTATATCCTCTAGTGTATAAAAGTGGCATCACATTATGAAAGAACAGGAATAATATATTCTAAAAAGTGCTAGGACAGTTGGTTAATTACTTAGAAAACTAAAGTAACATCTTTTCTCCAATTAACTTCTTTTTCCAAGTTAATCCCAAAAGGATGAATTTCCCAAATTAATCCAAGTTAATCCCAAAAGGTCTAAAAAGTAAAAATAATACATCTGTATGTGTCTCTGAAACGTTTGATATTTTCTAAGCATAAAAAAGTTATGGACATTTTGAAACACATACAGAAGTTATGGGCAAATCTTGTTTCATCTACATTATCCCACTTCCCACTAGCCCCATTCTGCACTGATTTATTGTGAAGCAAATATTAGACATATCACATGAACGTATTCATAACGTAGAATATGACTTGCAAGGATGGCTAATCTGTAGTTGTAGTTACATTTCAAAGAAATATTGACAAGGAGTACAAATACATTGACAAAATAGCCTAAGAAAATATTTCAGAATGTCAAATCAAACAGACCAGAAGAACATGGTTAAGCTATTTTTCTCAAACATGTTTACAATTAAATTACTAATGGAACAACTGATAAGAATACTACTAAATGACCTATATCTTATAGTTCCTTCTTAGTCAGGTTTACGACTCAGAGTTTTCTTTCTTTAGCTTGTGCCTCATTTAAAAGAAAATTTTCCACAAGGAATCTACCAATTTGGCATTTCTGATTCTGAAACATGACACTAAAGAGGGAAATTCCACCAGTGAAAACTCTTTTCTCCCATCATACTCTGCTCGGCAGCATTTGTCCTCATTGTATTACTTTTTGTCAATCTGAGCTTGTTTAGCAACCCTCTTCCCACCTGGTATGCAAAGGCATGTAGTGAATTGTCAATTATTGTAGT